AAAACTGTAATCGAGCCATTTTTAACGTCGGAGATGACGACAACTTAAAAAAAACGCAAAAAATCCAGATTTTGTCAATTTTTATAGTATAAAGGTCGAATAACTTTTGAAATAAAGGTCGGCAGCAAATTTGGAAATCAGATTCGAAATCAGCGGAAAATTCTGCACAAGATAGGCTTGGTCCCATTCTAAAAAGCCAGCCTGAGTAAAAACACTTTACAGTAAGAGAGACTGGTTGGGCGAGTCAATCTAGCTGGCTGTCAATTCATACAAAGCAGCCTAGCAGAGACCATTTGGGAGGTAATTTTTGACACCGTTGCAGACTATGCTATTGACTTAGGGTTCCGCCTATCGTAACCCAGAGTGCCGTCAATCGTACTATTTCGCTGCATTTTGGGGTTTTCCCCCTAAACACTTGAAGCTCTGTGCCTGAAATTCGAAAGAGTCTTGCTAGCCTCCGGGTAGATTCGAGTATTCCATTTGGCTGTTGACTTTTGTATGATAGTCCATGACAGCGCTGAGATCCAGAACCAAAACAGAAAAGTCAACAACCGTTTATTAGCTGGCACAAAATCAGTCGGGGGGCGGAACATTTAGCACAGACGCTCTGGGATGATATGTATGGGATAAATTGCGGCCAAAAAAGTTCATTTGAATTCGGTTTTATTAACGCATTAGTCCCTGCACTTTTTGCCAAGCTTAAAACTCAGCATTTCGGTCGTGGCGTCTAGCACCTTGTTTAGAGTCCTTTCATACACGCCAACCATCAAATCAACAACTTTCTTATCTAACGGACTGCTGCCGCGTTTCTCACGAAGCGTATGCCGAAAGATGGCGCGAATCGAGGGCAAATGCTCATCCAAATAGTGAATGCCATCAGCTACATTCTTTTCATAAAAGAAAGAGTTGTCAAGGCATCCTCTACCGGAACGGGGCTCCTTCAGATTATAGTATGCCTCGGGGTCCTGCGTCGATTCCAGCTCGGCCGCCGTCGGCTCCGTATCATTGCATTTGCCCCATGGTCCTGAAGTAGAATTTCTTTCTCTCGCTCTCTCTCTCTCTCTCTGTCTCTCGCTCTCCATGTCTCTCGCTCTCTCTCTCTGTATCTCTCTCTGTCTCTCGCTCTCCCTGTCTCTCGCACTCCCTCTCTGTCTCTCACACTCTCTCTTTCGTCTCTCTCTCTCTCTCTCTCTCTGTCTCTCGCTCTCTCTCTCTCTCTCTCTCTCTCTCTCTCTCTCTCTCTCTCTCTCTCTCTGTCTCTCGCACTCCCTCTCTGTCTCTCGCACTCTCTCTCTCGCTCTCTCCCTGTCTCTCGCTCTCTCTCTCTCTCTCGCTCTCTCTATTTCCCAGATCTGGAAATGTCGAGCTTTAGAGGGGCTCATAAGCCCCCAGGCCCAAGGTCATAGAGACAGAGGGCGCGCGAGGAGGCGAAAGAGAGCGAGAGAGGGAGAGTGCTGATGGCGGGGAGAGAGCGCCAGGCAGCATGACCACATCGAGCCGAATGAGATGAGACACCCTGTAGATATTCGAATCGGTCCTCATGCGTCGCATTGAAAACGGGTCGTTTGATTTAAGTTCGGCTCGATGTGGTCATGTTGCGTTTTTATTTTTGGTCATGTGGTCATTTTTAAATATGCTTGTTTCGGGCTGTAAAAAAAGCTCTTAGTATATTTTTCGGTCCTGTGGGCGAAAATACCTGGTGCTGGAAGTTTGAGAACGGCGCGCAGCTCGGCGAGCCCGATTCCAGTGGTGCATTCCAAGACGAAGACGGTGGACATTGAACGCGCAAGATGATATTTCAGGGCATAGCCGGTCATCTCCTCGTAGTCAGCAGCATGGAGGCAGTGGCCGGAAATGTTGGCCAGCTCCGCGTCGACGTCTATTGGCGTCTCATCCAGTAGATGATGATGGTCTGGAATAGAGTGTGTCGTAATTGAATCGACTCCCGCCCGCACCGGTGGATGATTTTGATGATTTTGGGGCTCCCGGTAAAGTAAGGTCTTACCAATTGGTCAACCTTTTCTTTGTCCTACCAACGGCCATTGATCCAAAGAGCCGCTTCGCGTTTTTTTAAACCTGGCGCCGTCTCGCCCCATCCATGTTTTTTCATTTTTTTTACCTCGCCCAAAACCCGCTTAGAGCGCCTTCGGCGCTGGAATCTGATTCTTGCATGAGAAATTTGACTTTCCCATGGATGCGTGCTTCGGACCCCTCCCCTCCCCCGACCAAACTCACGCGTACAACTGGCAAGAATGAGGAAATTTCTATTTTTCACTTTATGCAAATTAGCTCTCCGACGCCCCAAAATTTACTAAAACCGGCTTTAACTTTGTGAACTTGTATTTTATCGGTATTCTGAAAACGCCATCGGAAAGAGGAGGGTCGATTTCCCAGTGACGGAGAATTGAGACGTTTTGAACACGGGAAAGCCCCCAAATCGGGTCTCGCAAGTGTCAGCCGGACACACGCACACACAATTATATAAGGTAGGATTCGCTGAATTTTCGCGAATTCCGGCGACGAAAATGAAAATCACTCCTCCCGCCCCATTAACTAGACTCGCGCAGCTTCCGGTCTATGTTAATTGATTCGTAACAGAGTGGGCCTTCCACTTTTTCATAACCAACTTAATTTTAACGCCGAAAACCGCATAATTTGCAAAATCGGATACGCACTAACACACCATTGTTTATTTCGTTGGGTAGTAGACTGCCGGCATGCAAGGCGATTGGTAGAAGGAGGTAAATCACCAGGGCGACAGCCATTTTTATCTAGGAATACGTGGTTATGGAAAAAGTGAAAGAGAGAAAAAGAGAAAGCGAGGGAGAGAGAGAGAGAGAGAGAGAGAGAGAGAGAGAGAGAGAGAGAGAGAGAGAGAGAGAGAGAGAGAGAGAGAGAGAGAGAGAGAGAGACTGATCACGCGGATTAAAAATTGGACTTTTTGTTCGAAAAATAATTGTTTTCGAGCGCAATGAGGAAAATTCGAACATGTCTCTAGATTTTTTGAACCTTTTATATCTGAGCGCGCGGGCATTCACGGAGCGCCTTAGCACGCAAGGCTACGGTTAATGCTAAGCGTCGGGAAAAACCGAATTCTGACCATTCCGACCAGCGCCTGCGACCACTAGGCCATGGGAGGGATGGGAGTGAGCAGAGAAGCGGGGTTATGCAGGGCTGGGGGAGCCGCGACGAAGAGTGGCGGAATCGGGATGCCATTCTCAGATCCTATCCTATAAGCGAGAAAAGTATGTTTGTTTTCTGTAATGACGATTTCTCGGCCATGAGGCCGAATTTCGAGCTGATTTTTGGCATGAAGGTGGAAGAACACATTTGTCAGACACGCATTTTTTTGTTTTGCGAAATTCTTTCATTTAACGGTTTTACAAGCAAAATAGTGAAAATCCTTAACAAAATGGGCCAATGGCCGTGGTGTCCGGGGCATAACTCGCTTCGCATTTGGAATTTCGGGCTGAAATTTGGACCAGTTATGTATTCGATAGTGGGGATCACGCGCATCTTATTATCTTTACAAATTTTCTGCAGATTCAGACTAAAAAACTCAATTTTGTAAAGTGACCAGAAGGCCTCCCTTCCGGGGCATTGGGTCGGCCTTTTCTGTGCCTCCCCGCTCCCCTTTCCCCGGAACAGAAGAGGGCTTTCCCGCCGCCTGTTGCATCTACCCCATGGTGTAGTGGATTTACTCCCGGCCTACCACGCCGATGGTCGTGGGTTCGGATCCTGGGCAAATCCAACTTTTTGCTTTTTGGTAGTTTAGCAACTAACCATATTTCTAGGCTCTCGGTGTGCGAGATTTAGGCCTGGCTCTCGCTCTAGCGCCGCAGGCCCAAGAGAAGCTCCTTGACCCAGGCTCTCGCGCCGCAGGCCAGATCCTGGAGAAAAACCAGTAACTAGCGCCGCAGGCTCAAAGGTTCTAGCGGAACGCTGGCTCTAGCGCCGCAGGCCAAAGAATGGCGCCATTACTAAGGTCCTTGCGCCGCAGGCTAAAAGAAGAAGGTATTCAAATTCATGATTCCTGGACGGGGTCCAGTGGAAAATGGCCGCGAAGCGGTCGTTTTTCACTGGTATGCGATAAACTACAAGTTTACAAACTTAAAGCCGATTTGCTCATTTTCGCGGGTCCCCGAGGGGTCCCCGAAGGGTCAAAGCTATAGAAAAACCAGAGATTTACTGTAAGAAACCGACTCTAGCGCCCAAGGCCTACGAAGCGGGGTTTGGGCGCTGCTAGGGGAGCAATATTGCTCAAACGAAATCCCTGCGAACGTGTATGAAGACAAGCAGCGCAGCGGCCTGACCCCATTTCCTGTGCGTTCGCTCGTATCTTCCAGATCTGCATATCGATCGTGGCCTGCATAGCTAATTGAGGGCGAGTCGGACATCGGATCCCCCCCCCCAAGATCATCGGCCAGGGAACGGGGAAATTGGCGGTGATTGAAGTTTTGCTAAACTCGCCGTAATCGGAGAATCCGCCAAACACCAATTTATTATATAAACGACGTAGCCGCACCGCGCCAGGCCATCAACCCCGAGAAAAAAATGCGAGGAAAATGAATCAACAAGAGGCAAAAAACAAAAGCAGCGAGGCAAAAAAAAGCAGGTCACAAGGTACGGTCAGAGACGCTTCGAAATATCGTTAGCGAAAAATCAGGCGGCATGGGGGGCCTTAGACGAGTTTTGGACGGTATTTCAAGTCGAGTAAAAACTGATTGACGCTGACGAAAGAATTCGAAATTCAATTACAAGCCGCAAGAACTTCGAAGTGCAAAAAGAGAAAAGCATGACCTTTTGAGGGATTATCATCAAAATAACGGCCTAAATTTTGCACAATTTCATTTCCTGCAGCTCAATTCAGTTTTTTTAGACATTGCCGGGGTTTTTGGAGAGCGGGTGGGAAAATAAATCAGCTAGGATTTTGGTGTTGACGAGGGCGATCAGGCCGTTGAGGGCGAGCAGAGGAAGCGAGCAGATCCGGTGGCCCTTCACCATACGCATCGTAAGTCCGCATCACAGACGTCTTTTGACGTACGCTGAAAATATTCAGGTTAGATCTCGTTCCTATCCAGCGCTGGAATCCGGATTTGGGATCGGATATTCGACTTTCCGATGGCCCGGGTCCTTCCTACCTGGCCGACTAAGCATTCAGAACGAACGGTCTTTTTAAACCAAAAAGTGAATCCGGCTTCGAGAAATATGATAAAAATCCCCATGCCGCGATTATTTTCCTTGTTAACCCTGTTTGTCTCAAGATTTGATTCCGAATTGGCCCTACAGTATGCTGGAAGAGGGCTAGGAGGGGCCCGGAGAGGGTGACGGAGCTATGCAGGAGGGCGCGACACGTGATGTCGCCTTTCTGGCACAGCCATTCCGGAATAATGGTGTTGAAGGCCAGTAGGTGACGACCGAAGAGCTGAAAATATACTGGTTTATTTGTGTTGGCGATGAGTGCTTAATAGGTGAGCTAGGAAGTAAGCACGAACGTCTTTGAGCAAGTCCAGCGACTGTTCGCATTGGACACAACTCCATGTCCTCAGAGCGGGGCTGCCAGAACGAGTGCTGGAACCAGATCAACCATGGATGTCTCAAAAAAAAATGAGGAAATGGCCCAAAAAAGGCGCTTGCCCCAGGCCGAATGGTCAGGGTTCGATTTTGCCCGACGCTTAGCACCTACTGTAACCTTGCATGCTACAGTGTCGACTATTTTAAGATCTTGAAAATTTCAACGAGAGCGAACTGTCCCTTTAAGCCTGCATTTGACAAATAATGTTGGCAAAATATCGAAAACCGAGACGGCTAACTGTATGATCTATTCGCAAAAGTTCCTAATACCGAAAGATTCGGAAAAATAAACGCTGGACACTATCCATATCAGAAGCATCGGAATATAATTTGCCAAAGGGCAATCCATTTAAAAATACTCCAATAAGCAATGCTAGAACCAAAATAATAAAGAACCCACGCGTCACTGCAGTATGACATCCAATAAGGCCCGCACTGCAAGTCCACCGGCAAACCGGTTGATCTCGCGGGGAACATGCGCTGGACGATCTCCACCCCAATCTTCATCGCCTTCACCACCTGATCTTGGCAGCGTTGAATATTTGCCTCACCACGTAGCTCTTCGCACGCGGCCCGCGCACCGTTCCGCCCAAGTATCATGGCCCCTTCCAGCTGCTAAAAAGGGTGAATGTGATGGTAATTGTGAGTTCCTAATAACCGGGCCCCGCTGATGCTTACCATTCCGAAGTCTTCAACACGGCGCGGGCATTTCGCGCACCGCTGGGCCGGCGTATCCATGTAGGCGTCGCCGGGGTTGGCGGTCCAGCTCCCCCCCCCACCATCACGACCAGGATGAATAGCTTCATCGGAACGCGCGTTCTTAAAAATTGCATGAAAACGGAAAAAACTGACACTTATACTTTATACTGAATATAATTGTTGAAAACGGGAACCCAACGATTTTAATACTGAAAATAGTTTTAAATATGGGTTTTTCGGACTATAAAGAGGTCTTTGCGTATAGAGTGTGGCAGATAAGTACCCGGAATGACTTTAAACGGCGTCGCAAAGCAAAACAATTTGGTTTTATGACTTTTTTTCGTTGTTTTTGTGCAGAGGGAATGCTTGCGAAAAGTATTTTTTCGGGGACGGAGCTTGAAACAGCGCCGTGAGACATTTCACACACCAAGATCTCAACGTATGGAAAAGTTGTTTCCTAATGACAACAATTGCTAGAAAATTTTTCACAAGTTTCTCAAAGTTCAAAAGGTTAAGGCGCCATAGCTCAGTTTTCAAACTCAAATATTTTGATTTTCCGCGGTTTTGCGAATCAAACGTGCTGTAATCTTATTCTACAGGTTAAGGGCTACGTTTTGGTCCCTCTGCTACCCCTATAAGTCCAAGGATGGCCGAGATACGAAAACTCACTTTCGACCAGTAAAAATTAACAAAAAGGAGACCCAGCTTTATAATTGATACGGAAAAAAAGTTAAAACACCAACTTCTCGCTGACGGAGAATCCGAGCTGCTGTAGATGTTGTTGCTTCTTGTGGTAGTAGACCGCGATTCGTTCTTGATAATCCTGAAAAAGATACTCCAATCACGAAAAATTTAATTATGACATATGGAAAGGTAAAGTTTTTATTCTAAAATTATTCTTTGATTGCGAAAATCAGCTCAGAATCTACGGATTATGGAGGTTTTCGTAAATAAAGCTAGCAAAAATCGGCAGAGTGAGAACTCCCATCACGCAGCGGCCACTAGCAATTTGCCAGAAATCAAAGAGCCCACCCAAATGAGCATGGGTCTGGCGGTTGGGCGCCCATTTAAGTGCAGTTTGAGCGTGAGAAAAACTGGCGCTGTACTTGGAACGGGCCTTTGTCGCTCAGTCAGTTGGGGGCGTTCGGCCGTTGCGGACGTGGGCGGATTGCAACAACTTATGTTGCCATTTCCCCTCCTAGCGGCCGTCGAACAGCTGGTCCATGCGAACAAGACCCAGAGGGGCTTGATCGCCTTCCCATCTGGTCAGGCGCAAAAATGACGGGAGGCGAGGGGGGGGTATAGAAGAAAGGAGAAGATTACTTGCGCCCTCAAAAATAGATTCACGAAATACAAGAAATCTGTCGCCGAGCCCGGCCCCCAGAACCGCGTCGCCACCGGCCGTCCGTGCCCCTTTAAGTACCAGCCATTCGAAGAAGGAATTCTGCATCAAACAAAAATTGTGCCGAAGCTGGCGCGATGGCAGTGTTGAGGCGGCGCGCTAGCCAAAACATTGAATTCACAGGCCCGCCATTCGCGTTTCGCGATGAATCTGGAAATAATGTTTCGTGTGAATGATCGTCAGAACTTCAAACCCGAATAACTTTGGACAAGATAAAATACAAAATGGGGGGTGAGGGGGATTGGTCGGCTCTGGTCCGTTCCAATCGTTCTTGGATTTTAATTCTTTAAAATTATATATAAATGGATAGGCGACCCAGAGGCAAAGGAGCGGCCTATGAAAGGATGGTGGCTGTGGAACGAAAAAGCGGGCTGGAATGCGAAATTTCCCATTTTCCGATCCATTTACGACCCCGGCAATATCAGCGCTATCGAATGATATACTATAAGATACGGTAATGATTCGGAATCTCATTTTATAAGGTGCAAAAAACGCGAAAAGATCTAAAATTTTCTTTTTTCCAGGCGATTTTTTTGGAAACCAGAGGTACTGTAGCCACGATAGCATACAATTCGAGAAACAAATCCGAGCTTTTTCGGATGACGTACTGTAAGGTACCATAGCCCCGCGGAATCTCATTTTATGAGACCTGAAAGTTGGCGGAAATTCAACATATCTGCTCTTTCGGCCGATTTGTCTCAACGGCTAGAGATACTGTAGCTATTTATAACATACCAATCGATAGAGAAGATTGAGCTCTATCTATGCTATACTTTACGCTGCCGTATTCCAGTGGAATTTCGTTTTAGAAGGTTGAAAAGTCGGGAGGTTTGGTTGGAGGTTGTTGGTCTTCATTTATCTGCGCTCTCTCTCTCTCTCTCTCTCTCTCTCTCTCTCTCTCTGTCTCTCTCTCTCTTTCTCGTTCTCTCTCTCTCTCTGTGTGATATATTTGTCCATTAATGACATGTTGACACCCCCTAGAAGGCCCACCCACAAAGCACCCCTCGACCCCCCACTTTACCCCTCGGCCAGACCAAATACTCGCACCATCTCTGCCCAAATTTCTATTCTTTGTTGTTTTAGTTCTTCTGGTTTTTTATTTAAAGGCAAACTTGCAGAAACCATTTGAAAACAGATTTTCAATATTTTGGCCTGCGTCAATCAATTACGACAGGTAATTCGACTTTTCAGGGCAATCTAGCCGGTATCATTTGCGGAATTGGTAGAATGGGTGACAGATTGAGCAATTTTAGGAGGGCAAGCTAGCAGAGATCATTTGCGAGGCTCTATCGTAAATTTTAAGCTATTTTTAGCTTTTTCAGTCGATTACGCCAGGTAATTCCGCTAGTTCGGGCGATCTAGCAGGGATTCTTGGTGGAATTGGTAGATTGGATGGCAGATTCCAGGAGGGCATGCTAACGGAGACTATTTGAGAGGTCAAACGGGCAGACTAGCAGAGGCAATTGGGCATAAAAGTGGCTTCTCGTTGCCTTTAAAACGATCTAGACTTTGTTTGTTGTCTCTCACTCTCCCCATTTTCAATCCCTCGAATGGGCCTTAAGCCGTCCTTGTCGAACAGCCATTGTGAGTCATGCATTTCCAAACAACTCGCGCGATTGTTAGAAAAATTCATTTTACAGTTTCTCATTTTTGGACCCACGAAACTTTCCGCAAATGGTCTCCGCTCGCTTGCCCCTTTCAGAATCCTGCCAGCTGCCATCCAGTCGGCGGATTCCCCAAAAATCTTTGCTAGTTTGCCCCCGCGAACTCGGATTTACCATTTAAGCGAGCGGGTGATCGGATAGAATTTTCCGCAAATAGCCTCGGCTAGCTTCCCCGTTTCGGAGTTCTTCAAACTGCCATTCATTCAAACGATTCCCGAAAAATAACTGTTCGTTTCCCGCAATTCTCGACCTGGCGATCCTGAAAACCGGGCCCAATAAAAGCGCCGTAGCGTACCTCATTTTATCACCTCATTCTGGGTTGGAGGGACTCTTTTTCACTCCGCCAAACAAACGGAAAAGGGAAAATTGGGTTATTCTCGGCCTCCCAATTCTCAAAAAATAATTGCTATCACTGAACTAAAGGAAAATGAAATTTTCGACTACTTTATTTTTAGACTTTTCTTTGTCGTTCAGTACGGAGCCCACGTTGGCAGCCCACTGTTTTAGCGTCATCCATTCCCCGGTTTAAAATAGGCCGCACATCACTTGTATTTCCTTTTTTCTTTGTCTCTGGCACCCAGAAAGAGTTTACGTAGCGTAATCGGTTGACAAATTCCACTCAATTTTCCCGCTTTTGATGATTTTTGCGGGCGTCCGGAAACCTGAAGGACACAATGATCAGGCCGTCTGCTATTTACATAGCGTAATCGATGGGCCAACACGAAATTTTTCCGATTTTTAGTGGTTCTATTATAATTTTTGGCAGCCCGTACACATAGCTACGCATTGTTCATTTGCGGAATTTCTCAATTTTTCTCAATTTTGATTTTTTCCTGAAAAACAAATTGAGCCCCTTGATATTTACATAGCGTAATCGATTGGCCATTTCTAAACTTTTCGGTTTTTTAACGGTGTACGGTGTCATTGTTTGTTTTGGCAGCCAGTACGCATAACTACGCCACTGCATTTTGCAAATCTCTTCAATTTTGCATGATTCTCATCATTTTCCTGTAATAAACCAATTTCAGCCGCCCTGCTATTTACATAGCGTGTTCGATTGCGTGGCGATCGATAAGGAGACAGGGCTTCTTCTCCTTCTCCCCCCTTCCTTCCACCCCCCGTTCCCTTCTAAAGCCCCAAAAAAAGAGGGGCAGAAGGGGGCAGAGATAAAAGAGCGCAGCTGCACCACCACCACCGCGTAAATAGGAGCCACGCGGAATTTTTGGAGCTTCTGAACGCCGGAATTGGATTGTTTGGACGATCTAGTATCTGATTTTTACCCTAAAAGCGCTAAAAATTCGCTGAAAATGTCGAATATGACGACGATTAGAAGATCGGCGAATCGAGCGCAGGTTTGAATTTTTTTATTTTTTCTGGCTTCAAAAATGCATAAAAAATCGTGGAACATTTAATTTTTGATGTTTCTTATATGTTTTTGTAGCCCTTGAATTTCTCTGCCTAATTGACTGCTTTTTATATGATTAAAACACCAAAATATCGAAATAGGGGGCGAAGAAAACAGAAAAATTGCGAAATTGCAAGTTTTTGGTTTTTCAAAAAATTCTATAAAATTTTAGGAGCCTGAAATTTTCATGTTATGTGTATACCAGTGAAAAACGACCGCTTCGCGGCCATTTTCCACTGGACCCCGTCCAGGAATCATGAATTTGAATACCTTCTTCTTTTAGCCTGCGGCGCAAGGACCTTAGTAATGGCGCCATTCTTTGGCCTGCGGCGCTAGAGCCAGCGTTCCGCTAGAACCTTTGAGCCTGCGGCGCTAGTTACTGGTTTTTCTCCAGGATCTGGCCTGCGGCGCGAGAGCCTGGGTCAAGGAGCTTCTCTTGGGCCTGCGGCGCTAGAGCGAGAGCCAGGCCTAAATCTCGCACACCGAGAGCCTAGAAATATGGTTAGTTGCTAAACTACCAAAAAGCAAAAAGTTGGATTTGCCCAGGATCCGAACCCACGACCATCGGCGTGGTAGGCCGGGAGTAAATCCACTACACCATGGGGTAGATGCAACAGGCGGCGGGAAAGCCCTCTTCTGTTCCGGGGGAAAGGGGAGCGGGAGGCACAGAAAAGGCCGACCCAATGCCCCGGAAGGGAGGCCTTCTGGTCACTTTACAAAATTGAGTTTTTTAGTCTGAATCTGCAGAAAATTTGTAAAGATAATAAGATGCGCGTGATCCCCACTATCGAATACATAACTGGTCCAAATTTCAGCCCGAAATTCCAAATGCGAAGCGAGTTATGCCCCGGACACCACGGCCATTGGCCCATTTTGTTAAGGATTTTCACTATTTTGCTTGTAAAACCGTTAAATGAAAGAATTTCGCAAAACAAAAAAATGCGTGTCTGACAAATGTGTTCTTCCACCTTCATGCCAAAAATCAGCTCGAAATTCGGCCTCATGGCCGAGAAATCGTCATTACAGAAAACAAACATACTTTTCTCGCTTATATTATGTGTATATATAATTTTGTAGCGCTTAAATTTCCCTATCCAAATGATTTATATAAAATTCTCAAAATACCTAAAACCGGCATTACGGTAGGAAGAAAAACGAAAAATTGCGGGATTTTGGAATATTTGCGTAACCTGAGGGTATTATCTAATTTATCGGGGGTCCCTGAAGCCCCCTAAAAAAAACTTATAGGCTACAATACGTAAAAAATCAAGTTCCTAAAATTTTTTAAAATTACAACTACTTACGCGGGGAAAATTTTTATTAGCTGAGCAGGGGTAGCCATAATATCGTAAGCTGGTTTTGGCAGCCAGCCGTAATGGGGGTATAGCCGTTGAGTATTTGCTCACAATTAGCCCAAGTAGTACGTCTAGTACGCGGCAGATCAGATTACCGTAGGCACGCGTCGCGTAATGCCCGCTACTCACAACCGGCATTTGGTGGCTAACGTACTCGCTACGATACGCGGGTCTAAATGTTAAACTTTACTTAATGTCCGAACGACTTCTTGATTCTTTTCACATGCAAATAATTTTTTAGAAAATGCCGTCCGATGCCCAGCGGCCTGGGAATTTGCATGAGCATTTAGGTATGTCGTATCTCTCTCTCCCTCCGGCCCCTCTCTTACAATCTCTCTCCCTCTCTCTCTCTCTCTCTCTCTCTCTCTCTCTCTCTCTCTCTCTCCATCTAGCTCCCATATTCTCTCTCCCTCTCTCTCTCCCTCTCACACTTTCTTTCTCACGCTCTCTCTCTCTCTCACACACTCTCTCCCTCCCTCTCTCTCTCACACATTCTCTCCCTCCCTCTCTCTCTCTCTAGCTCTCTTTCTCGCTCTCTCTCTCTCCTTTTTAATACAAATTTCAGCCCGAATGGAGATGGTGGGACGTCCGCAAGGTGGCATCGGATTCGAGAGACTCGTCTGGGCACCTGACCCAGTTCATGGGTAATTTAGAATGCTAATCAATAGAATTCATCCTTTCAGGTATGTTCTAGGTGACATCGTTGATATTCGAAGCGACAGTCTATCAATTACACGACGTAATGACGGCAAAACGGTACGTTCATCGAACTGTCCGCCAGAAAGTGACGTTATGTAGGTGGAAGTGCGTGCCGATGACGTTTTCCCAGCCGACGCCTCAAAAGACACGACAGTCGATGACAATTGTGCGTTGATGTATCTGAATGAGGGCAGTCTACTCGAGAATTCGAGGCGACGATTCATCAATAAACATCACATTTATGTGAGTTGAAAAAACGTGTCGTAATCCATTACGACATCTTCAAGGAGGTCAAGCAAAACTAGCATAATCCGTCAAAAAATTCGATTTTGCCGATTTTTAGTGTTAGTTATTCGTTCTGACATACATTAAGCTCAAAGGTAAATTTTTAAAGGCGCTCGGACAGCTAGAAAAATTCTCAAATTTATATTTAGACTTACGTGGCGAACATCCTGATCTCGATCAACCCATACGCGGACGTTCCGGATCTGTACTCGACGAAAACGATGGTGTCCTACCGAGGAAAATCCATTGGTCAACTACCGCCCCATGTTTATGCTATCGGTACGGTGGATTTGCCTTCAACGGCCCTTTAAAGGCGCCGGACGGCGACACGCAACGCGCACGCCCCGCCCTTCCATTGCGTAATCGATTACGACACTTTTATGGCGGTCAAGCGAGGCGTGCGCGTCGCGTATCGCGCCAAAAATGGCGCAGTCTATGGCCATGCCTTCCTACTCCCTTTAAAGGGACACTGACAGCCGAGCTATTCGATTACGCAAGCCAAATCCGAGCAAAAAACTTACCGCTTACGCGAGATAATCAAACGGGCCAATTCCAAGCGTAATCGAATGATTTCTGGTGAATTACATTGCGTAAGCGAATGAGCTGTGGGCAAACTAGCAGAAAACCTTAGGAAACCGCGCCTTGCATGTCCCTTTAAAATGGAGACTATAAAGGTAGTGTGACAGCTAGGATAAAAGGCTTCACTCTCCGTCTAAAACCACCAAGCCAACCTTTTTTTCAGCGGATAAAGCATTCCATGGCACGTTTTTCCTCACTTTCCGGTTAATTTAGCTTGACATCTGGGGGTACTGTAACGGAGTAAAGTATACCCTTCCAAAGGAAAACTTGAGCTCTTTAAAACGGCCTATTGTAAGTTACCGTAACCCAGAGGAACCCAATTTTACAAGGCCTCAAACTACGAGAAAATTTTCGTATCCAATTTAAAGGGAGTGAGACAGCTAGGATACTAGCCTGTCACTCTGCCGCTAAATACACAAAATAAACATTTTTTTCAGCGGACAAAGCATTCCGAGACATGCGTCGCCACGGGAGATCCCAGTCGATACTTGTATCTGGAGAATCTGGAGCTGGAAAGACTGAGAGTCAGAAGGCCATTCTCAGATATTTATGCGAGAATTGGGGACAGACGGCTGGACCTATACAACAGAGACTACTCGAGAGTACGTTTTTTACGGGATTACGGGGTATCGGTCGGTTACCGGCATGACAATAGCTAGAGAGATAAAGCGAGAGAGAGAGAGAGAGTGAGAGTGAGAGAGAGTGAGAGCTAGATGGAGAGAGACAGAGAGGTAGAGAGAGATTGACAGTGAGAGAGAGAGAGAGAGAGACAGAGAGAGTGAAAGCGAGTGAGAGATATAGTGAGAGAGTGAGAGAGAACTAGAGAGAGAAAGCGAGAGCGTGAAAAAGTGAGAAAGCTTTTAAAGGAACCCAGAAGTAACGAAGCCAACCGATTACGCTATAAAATTCATAATCCAGCCTTTTCCAGCCAACCCAATCCTGGAGGCTTTTGGCAACGCGAAAACGTCTCGCAACAACAATAGTTCGAGATTCGGGAAATTTGTCGAGATCCACTTTGACAATAAGGTGAGATTTTGGTGTCTCTGTCCTTTTAAATCGGCTGGTAAGTCGTGAATTCCGGCAGTTTTTGCCGCTTCGCGGGCCGGAACGCCTACCCTCGGTCGCTAAAAAGGTGTGGTGAGCGATCAGGCAATGGAAGGGCGGAGCGCGCGCGTCACGTGTCTCGGCGCGGTAGAATTTACAGGAAAGCCGCGACGCAATACGGAACGCACACGCCGGGTATTTCCTAGCCTAATCGATTACGACGCGTTTTTGTGGACAGGCGAGGGCGCGCCTCGGGCGTCGCGGCCTCATTTCGGTCCATATCGATTCAATCCCGGTCCCTTTAAACCCAGTAAATTCACATTTTTGCAGAATTTGGTTACCGGAGGCCACGTCTCGCATTACCTGCTGGAGAAATCTCGAATTGTCGGCCAATCTGAAGGAGAGAGGAATTACCACATTTTCTATCAATTGATCGCCGGTTCGGATGCGGATATGTATAAACTGTACGCCCTCGCACCGCCCGATCGATTTCATGTGGGTTTTTTCCGGTTGATTTACAAGTCGTAATCGGCGACACCTAGCGAATTCCATAGCGTGATCGATTAAAAATTGCCTAATTTATGGCCGTAATCGTTTAGTACCTGCGTCGCGGTTGCGTCGACTTTTTCGCACGGCCTGGCAATGAAAGGGGAATTAATGCCGATCGATTGGCGCCGAAGGTATCGTTATTTTTTGCCTTCAATGGCCCTTTAAACCCCTTTTTTCAGGCCCAAACCCGTGTGGATCCAATTGTGGATGACGCGGCAGATTTCAAACGTCTCCTCTCTTGCCTCGAGAAATGCGGCCTAAATGAAGGAATGAGAAAACAAGTGCTGAGTACGGTGGCCGGGGTGTTGCACCTCGGAAATGTCGATTTTGTGGCGGTGGAGGAGGGAGGAAAAGGTATGCAATATCTTAAATGACTGACAGTTAATCCAAATCAGGCCAGAAAAGCAGGCTAGCAAAGGTAATTGTGGAAAATCCCCACCTTTGGGTCACGTTCCCTTTAATCCTCAATAATCGCTGCTAATTCCCCGTTTCCGGTTCCCAAATTTTCACTGCTAGCTTGCCCCGCCGCTAAAAAAGCGCACTAAATAATCGCTGCTAGGTCTCCGAAAATTTTAAAGGGCCGTTGAAGGCAAGTATACGGGAAAATTTATGTGGCGTAATTGATGATAAATTTTGGGTAAACTGTCAGAGACAATTTGCGAAATCGATCAACTGTCTGGTAGTTGGTTGATCTCAAAAGTGGCAGGCTAGCAGAGACTATTTGAGAAAAGTTGCGTCGAAAAACTCTTGGAAAACCGGTAATCCGGCCGTAAAAACCCAGGAACGGGCAAACTAGCGGAGATCATTTGTGGAATGGATCGACTGATTGGCAGTTAGACAAATTTTAAAAGGGCAAGCAGCAGAGGGCATTTGGGAATGGCTTAATCGCTATTTCCAGATGGCAGTCGTGTCTCCCCGGGTGAATCCGAGAAATCAGCGATTCGAGCGGCTGGAATGTTTGGTATCGATGTTCAGCAGCTTCGTCTTGCCCTTACCACTCGTGCAATGCAGCCATCCAGGGGAGGAATGAAAGGAACACTCATACTGTAAGTTGGAAATTTTGAAAATTCGAAAAACATTTTGAAAAACATCTAGATTTTGCATTTTTGGTTGATTTTTTAAATCTATTTCATGTATTTTGGCATTGTTTTTTTTGTATTCTGTAGTTTGTAGGCCATACACAAAAAATGCACAACATGTTTTCACGATATATTTATTTTTTACCAATTTCCGATTTTGTCGAAGCATGGCTTCCGAGTTCCTTTAAAGTGACCAAGCTTCCATCTGTCAGCTATTTGACTTGCCAGTCTCTTTAAAATCATAAAAATCGAGTTTTGACGATTTAAAGGTTACCAAACCTTCGACTAGCGGCCAATTGACTTGTTGGTCCATTTAAAACGGCGAACATCCGGAATATCGCCGATTTAACCGAGCCGGACCTCCGAATGGAATCCAGTTGACTTGTCAGCCCCTTTAAAATCACCTTAGATTGCCCCAATTTTTTGCGATGGTTGATGTGGGGTGGAGGGGGGAGGGATCGCCCAGAATGGGACCACAAAACAGTTAGGGCAAACACTTCGAGAGGGGAGTCGAAACCGTTCAACGGACTGTCCAGTCTCTCTCTCTCTCTCTCTCTCTCTCTCTCTCTCTCTCTACCTCTCTATCTCTCGCTCTCTCTCTCTCCCTCACTCTCCCTCACACTCACACACTCTCTCTCCCTCTCGCTCTCCCTCTCCTGTCGCTCTCTCGCTCTGTCCCTCTCTCCCTCTCTCACTCGCTCTCTCTCCCGCTCTCTCTCTATCGCCCTCCCTCTCTCTCTCTCTCCACTCGCTCGCCAGTTGTTTATTTGAAGTTTGGAGGGTTTTTTCGAGGTCCAGCCCCGGTCCCTATAGAAGTGGCTGCTGCTGACCACCCCGAGCTAAACCAACACTCCTACCGGCTTAACTGACTGAAATGGCAGACAAACAGACAAACTGACCGACACACACCAGGATTTTCACCTCTATTTGCTGACCATGATCTGAAAAACCGGGCTGATCACTGTTTTGGGCAGGCCGGAAAGTACCTGATCTGCAGAAAACGGCGGTTTTTTGAAAAGCACGGATTCCATGGCGTAATTGGATAGGAAAAATGTAAATGCCTATCAGTTGAGAAGAATTGATCGAGATTTTTGAGATTTTTGATTTCATAGCGTAATCAGATGACGATCTTTCGAAATTTGGAATTTTCTAGCGTGATCGAATATCGAACAGTGAATTACCGATCCGAATTTCCGGAAAAATCGGAAAAACGGAATCAATGCCGATACGAAACCACGAATTTCATGCCAGTTTACAGTAATCCGCAGAGATTTTCGAATTCCCTAGCGTAAGCGAATGGAAGGCAAAAAGTTCGGCACCAAAAAGTGTGGTTTTCCAAATTTTTGAAATTCCGTAAGTGGATGTAGTTCGTAGCCCAGGCCATGAAATTTTTGTGTGAGGTTGACTGTATGTCAAATTACACAATTCCATTCGAATTTTTGGGTTTTGTAAGGTTTTCGAATTACATGTTGTGATCAAATAATCGATTTGTGATTTTTGAACTCCTCGAGCTCGACGCTAGATTTTTTAGTCGCTTAGACCTTAAGTTCCCAAATTACTGTAGGTACAACTATGCTGACAGCTCACTTAATTCGAGATTTGCCCCATTAGGCGCGCCCCGATTTTTGATGGGTTGTTTGCGCGACGGGGGATTTATGGGGGGTTTTTGGTTACGTGCGTGTGCGTATTTTTGGAACAGCTGTTCCTCCCCACCTGATTGTCTTCTTTTTTTTGGCCCTCTGAGCGCCATGGCAACGCTCTATGTCTGCCAATTAACCCGAAATTCTGCCTTGAAAATCCCCTGCGGCGAAAACAGCGGCAGTGTTCAGCACCAAATCTGGCGGGCAAATTCAGAGAACCGCACGTGTTTGCCGATTTTGCCGATTAAAGCCGATTAAAGGGGGTCTGAAATCACCAAACCGATAAAACCACAGCTGAAATGACCATCCGATTA